TAAACGTTTGTTGCAAGCTTTTTTTTTTTATGTGTAAAGTTATATCTAAATGACTTGAATTTTGTAAAGAATTATCTAAGTGACTTTAATTGTGTAAAGATATATCAAATTTCTTAAATTGTGTAGTAAAATCGAAATTACTTTAAATTATGTAAAGAAATATCTAAATGGTTAGAATTATTTTAAAAATCAACGTCAAGCCTACAACATCTTGAACATAATAATAAAATAACCAAAGGCTGCGGGACTGTCATTCTCAGGTTATCACATTTCAATACAATTTCATATTAAATTTAACTACGCAAGCACGCCAAATCAACTCTTGTTGGTGGGTGGGGGGAGGTGGGGGGCGTTGGGGGGGGGGTCGGGTCAATGTGGAGACCACATGCGGAATTAAATCACAAAATACTTAAATTTAATAATTTAAAAAATAAATTTTAAAAGTGCATATATAATGTAGTTTATAGGCCTACTTTAAATCGGCAGTTCTCATGGCAAATGTATCAGAAAGGAAGCTGTATACCGCCCGTCGAAGAAAACAAAACTGTTTTTTTACGTGCGGGGGGGAGGGGGGGGGCTTTGACCGCGGCAATTATCTAAACCATTTCACGGTATTTCAAGTTTATAATTTAAACATTTCGAACAATTAAAGCTTCAGTTTAAAAAACATTAGTTCTAGACTCTGATCGGTCGTGTAACTAAATCATAGTCTACATCAATAATTTGTGTCAAAGCCTAAGACGGCGCAGATCTGGATATTTTTTTCAAGTATCTAAATCATAGTCTACATCAATAATTTGTGTCAAAGCCTAAGACGGCGCAGATCTGGATATTTTTTTCAAGTATCTATGTAAGCCCTGCTAGGGGGGGGGATACCTTAAAATCTACCCTTCTAGGCTTAACTAACTAATCTGTCCGGTCAGTGCAACCGTGGTAGAACCCACAGTGGTTAAACCCTAACCTTAGTCTAAATTATAAGCTACTAAAATAAAACAAAAACTTTTACAGTTAATAAAATTTATTGCATGGAACCAAAAGTTATAAAAAAAGGATAGGTAAAAACTGACACAAAACAGAACCAAACGAAACAAACTTTTTACATCAAACAAAACATTACGTTTGACCATTTGCTGGTGTTGCGCCGACTTATGATGTCTAGGATGGTCCAGGCCCTGACACACAGAAACCTCCCTTCATCCATTCTCGACATCCAAAAGTCCACACCAAACAAAACACTACGTAAAACCACTACGTACAATACATTACGTAGAACACAATACGTACACAACAAACTTTTTACACCAAACAAAACAATTCATATATAACAAAACACCCAGCCAAGTTGCCCAAGCAACCTCACTCCAACGCGTGCGGTGCGCCACGCGCCCACACAGAAACCTGACCCGACCTACATCTCGCCGCGGGTCAAAAAAAGGAAGAAAATCACTCCGAGCGGTCAATTTATACTGACCGCTTCGGACGGAAGGGGACTCCGTGCCGTTCCCCATTGGACCACCATGCACTCCCAGATTCGCAACAAATAAAATAATACAAAATAATCCATTCACCCGCTCACATCTATAAATCATAGTCTACATCAATAATTTGTGTCAAAGTCTAAGACGGCGCAGATCTAGATTTTTTTCAAGTAACAAAGACCAAAATAGCCACGATACTATTTAATATTTAAATATCAGCGCGTGTATAATGTGCTCGCTTGGTCAGGTGTGTAGGGCTAACGGTCAGTGGGACTTCGACAAACAAGGGGGAAGGTTTGTTATGGAAACACATGTAGGGCAAAAAGTAGAAGTCAGTCGTTCTATACTCTATTGGATCGTCATACCTCATTCGTCCACGCTCAGCATGGACCCCGTCCAAGCGCTCACATTACAACAGGGGGGGGGGGGTTCCTATACTAAACTATTTCAGGCCTTAATTATTTTATATAAATCTTTGTTTGTTTAGCTATGGAATTGGCTAATTTGGGATATATGCCCCTAATTAATTACATTTAAAATAATCGGACCTATTTCCTACTTTGCAGTAAATTATAGGACTAATAATTCTACAATGGTTATCGAGTGCCCATATAGCTAAGATGGTAGTGTAATGGCTACCATGCGGGTGGTACGGTTTCGAGACACATCACGACAATATTAATTTTTTTCTGCAATTTTTGTTTTTCATAACGTAAATGATGAAGTTGCCTATCGGGACCTCGCTGGACACAGGGCAGGTGAAGAAGAGTTCACATGTTTATTTGTCTTCAGCATATGAACCAATAGTGTGGTCAGAGAAATGCTCGGCCGGAATCGTTTTTTTAACGATAAAAACATGTTGCCTGAGACTTGGCGGGACACTAGGCAGGTGAAGTAGAGTTGAGTAGGTCACCTGTAACGTCAGTATATGAAGGGATAGTGTGGTCAGACCCATGCTCAGCCGAAATCGGTGTTTTTTAAAGTAAAAAAAAACGTCTTTTTGAATGTGGGGTCAGGTTATTTTGTGATGATAAGTGACCCCCGAAACTCACAGTTATCTAACTAAATAACGGGTAGTCTATATATATATATATATATATATATATATATATATATATATATAAAGCAATGTGGTCGGGTGCCCGATAGGGCCCTCCCGGCGCCGCAGGTGCTTCAAATTTGGCAGGATCCTGCTTCTTAGCGATAGAACACGGGGACCGGTGCCGGTTGGCCGCAAAGTCCATGATTAGGGGGGTCAAAACTGACCTCGACTGACCGGCGCCTTATATGAGCTATATATCGAGAAAAAAATGCCGACGTAGGAACCTCTTCATAACTCCTGAGGTCGTAGACCGACCCTCAGGGGTGGCAAAAAAATATTATTTATTCGGCGAAATTCCGGAATGTCTTTAGAACTGTCCGGTCCGAATACCCTACATAAACATTGTTAATTTGGTGAAAAACGATGACTATTTTCAAAACAATGTTTAGGACTTTGGCTCTGTACATCTGGCTCATTTTTTCCATAAACCTGGGTAAATGCATCGGTCTTATTGATAAACTATCGGTCAGCCACTGCTCGCACGGCGAGAGCTAAAAAGTGACCACGAGTGAAATTCTCCTTATATTAGCCATATATCGAAATACATTTCCCACGTAGGAACCCTTTGAAAACTCTTGGGGATGTACATCGGCCCCAGGGGGTCAGGAAATAATGGTTCTACCCTCTGTAAAATTCCGGAACAATGTTTTAACTGACCAGAGGCATTATTTCCTTATATTCATAGTATCGTTTTTCGTAAACCGACCCTGGATAGGTAACAAAAAACTTTATTCCCGTCGAAAAAAAACCTTTATGGTCGTTAAATTTGTCCAGATGCCGTATTTACTTATATAAGCATAGCAACTGTTTGTGAAAAAAGTAAACAAAGACTACGTCATTCGTTAAATTTACAAGAAAGTTTATTTTTAAAAATTATTTTTCAAACTATTTTATACTGTTTTAAACACAAACAGAAAATGACGAAGTATGGCATTGATTTAAGTAATATTTTTGTTAATAATTAAGGTGAATATCCTAATTAAATTGTAGTGATTATTTTTAAAAGTCGATGTAATATAACTTATCAGTTATACTATTTAGGGAACCTTTGTAGTTCTAATTACCTTTCAAGTAATAAATTGCGAACATTCCAGCAATTTCTCTCAAATTACAATGACTGTTTAAACTTAAGCCAGCCCATCACTAATTAATTAAGCATTCAAATTCTCAAATGTATTTTGAAAACCTAATCGAAGCTAGGCAGTATGCCTGGTCTATATAAATGTGAACGGGTGAATAGTAGATTTATATTGGATTATTTTATTGTGTGCGAAAATGTGCGTGGATGGTCAACTGGACAGAGGCTACGGGGTTCCCCCTCCCGACTCAAAACCCTCGGCGGGAGCTAAAATTTAGCACGAGTGAAATTCTCTTCATATGAGCTATATATTGAAAAAACATTTGCCGAACGACCCTCATTGATATTTTGTGAGGTGGTATAAAAAACGCCTAGGGATGTTAGGAAAAACTTGCCGTATCCCGGGGAAAATTGTAAAGTGGTCTAAACTGACCAGTCGTATTTCTCTATATAATCATTGTATTTTCAACAAAGACTTTAGGATTGTTAACCTCTGTACATCTGGCTAATTTTTTGCATGCACCTCTATAGATGACCGCGATTGAAATTCTCCGTATATGAGCTATATATTAAAAATTCCAAACGATTACCCTTAATATTTTGTGAGGTCGTAGCCCGACCCTGAAGGATAACAAAAAAACTATTACCGTCTGAAAACCCCCTTAGGGCCGTTAAATTTATCCAGATGCCGTATTTTCTTATATAAACATAGCAATGGAGGCGACCGAGTTGACGAGAATCCTTCCATCATATAGTTGACATGGATTAAAAACGTGATTTTTTTTTTTAGATTTTGCAATCAAAGCGACCGTAAAAATATTTAAAAAATTAAAAATTAAGCCTAAAATTAATTCAGAAATTTAATATTTTTATAATCAATCCAATAAAAGTTGCAAATCCAGAGAACTTGAAAAATAATTTGTTGAGTTTAAGGCTACATTTTTATTTATTTTCATCAAGCCTAAGTTATGTTTCACTTTCGTAAGACAATATTGATTGGATGTACAGGAACTCCGTGATCGATAACTATTTGTTTGCAAAACTTTGCAGATAAAGTTTTTACATAACACAACAAAAGTTTTTATTTTTTTTTTTTTCCCACGTTTTCTTTAACTTGCTTTCTCTGTGTGTTTATTTGTTTGTCTTTCCAATCAAATCTTGCGATCGAAATTTCTGGCACTTCCCAGTTAGCTAGCGCGCTGAAATTTTCAGGGAAGCTTTCTTTTGGATGACCATTGAATATTCAATTGTTATTATTACTAAATTGATCAATGGAAACATTTTATTGAGCATTTTAGACCGCTATATAATCTATATATATAATTCTCCTCTGCTAGCCATT